TATGGATGCAATTTGTAATGTTTTTGATTATTTCGTGTTCTAAAGTCCGGCCCCGGGACGGATTTCACCAAGTAGCAACTCGGTCAATGAATCTTATCAGGAAAAATTCACATCACGGTAAGTTTCATTTTTATCAATGACATCATGCTTGCTTGGTTAGAAAATAAAATAGATTTGACATTAAATGAACAATAAGAACAGGAGCTGTTTACAGTCACATCTCACACAAAGAAATATCAAACAAATAGGTTTTCATGTTGGATTGAAGGTAAAGCACCAGCATGTCACAAATGCAAAGAAAAAACAGCAGATATGAAACTAAACCGTGAAATAACCTGGTCGTGTTGACAGGCCGTACAGCAGCAAATGAAGCACAGGCCGCTCTGTCGCTGAGCTGAGCTGAGCTGAGTTGGTGAGAGTGTCACACACACTGCCTCAGCTGCGTCAGTGCATGATGGCAGTCTGCAACACGAAGCATGCAGCCGTCCACAATGAAAGCAAGAACATGCTGAGAAATGGTTCAGTGCAAAGTGAAAAACAAACAATATTAGTGATCAGATAGACTTGATGGAAAAAACGAATATTGGCGTTTGACGCAGGAAAAATGAAGGACCAACAGGATCGAAGAAAGCAGCTGTTTCTGTGAAGAAGCGATAAAATACTTTCCTGTTAGATTGGATTGTCCCTTAACCTGTAAAAAAAGTTTTCCCTTCCCATCTCCCTGACTGTAGAGGAGGTCATTTAACGATTTGCCGGGAGTCCGGTGGCGCATAGCTGCAGCTATGCGCCACGTTAAACAAAAATAAAAAACAAACAAACAAACATTAATTTCATGTTTAATCGGAATATTGCTGAACGATAATATTCTAATATTTTCTTGCGGTCTGGGGAATGATCAGGACAATATTTGGAATGAGGCCTTAACCCCAGCGCGTTTCATTACGCCCAGTGTCAAGTTATTACCGGCTGTGAATTGAACTCGCAAACATCCAATCTCACCACTGACGCCAGCAAGGCCGTACAGGGCCGGCAGGATTCCTGACATCAGAAATATCTGACAACGAAAACTACAGGAGCAAAAAAAATATTCACAATGGCCAAGTTATGCTGAAATCTCTGCTGACCTCTCCCCTCGCTATAACTTTATATTGAAAGCGCAGGACGCAGCAATCATCACCATCATGTGGAAGTGCTCGTCCCACACTTCCACAGTAAACTTTGGATTTGAAATCCCATTGGACAGATGCGTTTCTTTGGACGACCTCCTCGGGGGTTCGCCCGGGGCTCGTTTTCTCTTTGTATTCAACATTTAGATTCATCATTAAACAACAAATTCAGCTGTAGTTCATTTATTCTGCTAACAAACAGAATCCAGTGTGAGCCTGCCGTCAGATGCTTTTATTTTGAAAAATGTCAAATTTGGTTTAATGCAGGGAGAAGACAGAGGGGACTTTCGTGCATCGCAATAAACACTGGACATGCATTAAGCAGGGATATTTGACAGGTTGTTGCTGTGTGCGCTCGTGTCGCCGCAGCTCGTGGCTTTGTGAGCCAGCGTGTCTGCAGCGACGGCCAAGGGGGACATTTCCAGCAAGTGGCGCGGATCACTTCCACATAAATAAGGAAGGATCAGAGAGTCAAGAGCTCCTTCATGGACACAGAATGAGGTTTACGGTTCAACTGCTGTATACATAAACACACCTGCCTACAGTATGCGCTCATAGCTCGGTCCACACTCGGCTTTTCTCCATCAAATGTCGGCTTTTCAAATACCACGTCTAATGTCACCTCTATTATAGATTACAGATGACCAGCATCCTCCTAATAAACCAACACATCACACACGTGCATGAAAGACTATAGATACAGGTGTGTGTGTGTGTGTGAATAAAGAAATAACAGAATAAAGACGTGAGATCAACGATCATTTATTTAGTTTGATTTTTTCGTTTCTTTTTCACCGGACGTCCGGGAGTCCCCTGCGGCAGCAAAGGGCCGCGTTGGTTCCCTCACCGAGCATATCCGGTGTCCGTGGTACCAGAACTGTATTTATGGCACTACAGTGATTATGGAGAGATGGCACCGTGTCGCATTCTTAAATCATTTGAAGCTTTTACTTCTGCTCATAAAAACATTTTCGTTCAAACATCAGCTCTAAATCTCAGTTGTAGATCAGGTCTGTTCTTCAACTCAAACGCACTGATTTTATCGCCCTAATTAAAAACGTCCTCACTGAAAATCAGAAGCTCTTCAGTCACACTGACATCACGTGTTAAATACGTCATCTATCAGGCCTGGAGCGAAACCTTTAGAAGTAAAACAAACTCAAACTCATCCAGGACTGTCAAACTGAAACACTTTTAACACACCAGCTCCTAAAATGTCCATCCCGAGCCAGCCTCCTCCTGGACTCTGAGACTGTAATGGGCCCATCATGCGCTCCTTTTTGTTCGTCCTCTCGGAGATGGTAGGCTACATCAGCGGGGTGCCTACGGGCTTATAAAAAAGAGATACAACAGCAGCTGCCACGAAAATGATTCGCGCGTGATGACTAGTTTGGGCTAAGTGACACAAATGGCATATGAAATTGTGCTGCGTGAAAAGTGTCTGGCGCTCATTTGTCACTTAGAACTCTGAATGTCTTTTTAAAGTGCTGGCGCCCATTGAAATTGTCAGCTCGCAGTTACTGAGGAGCTCTGGGAATCCTCACACGGGCTTTGTTGGCAGGATGAGGAATATATTCTTCCCCGGAGGTTTGGCCAGAGGATGCAAGTCCTACCCAAAGCTTCTTGGAAAATCACAGTTTACGCCAAATGTTGGTGTTTTAAAACGAATAAAATGCTCGGGGATCTTATCTTTTGTCATGAAAAGACGCACGACGATCTTTCTAAACTGTGCAAGTGTCTTTCTCTGCTGATCATGCTTTACAGGCCATTCAGAGGCGCACAGACGACTCATCCCATCACAGTGAATGGGATGGTAACTGTTTATGTCAACAAACACGGATCATTCAAACGAATTCCCGTTTTAATTATCAGAGTGCTGACGTTAAACAGCTTACGCGGGGTCTCCACGGGTCACGCGAATAAAAGTCCGGCCTAATTAGCGTATTTTTCCCCTCCAGCCCCCCAAAAAAGAAAGAAAAAAAGCAGGAGGCTCGCCCAGCTCTCTGCATGGTCGCCTTCTCTAATTGCGTCTAATTAAAATCCCATAGTCATGTTTTCAAACTTTACCAGGTGTGGCTTGAATGGGAACACTGGTGAGCTTCCACAGTCTCCGGCTGATATCTACACAAGAGTCGTTTGTGGTGGTGAAGCGC